TATCGATTAAATATATTTTCGTTATTTAAAAGTTTTTATAAAAAAATTAAAAATTATCTGTTAGTTTTAAACAAGTATTAAATGCCTAAATTACTTGTGCACAGAAAGAATATTAGTAAAAAACTTGGCTTATTTGATAGAGCTACTATAAAGCATATGCTTACGCATTACCTATAGAGGTATAAAGAATAAAAACCACTTAGTAAAGCAGCTTTCATAAATAACATGCTCAAGCGCAGGAAATTTAATTTCATGTATTTGTATTGGTAAGTAAATCTTGAGTAAATGCTTAGTGCTGTAATTGTACATACGTACCTGCTGATTCTCTTCATAGCGTTATTAAGTAAATAGTTATATTATATTTAAATCTTATATTTAAGTCTTTACTGTACTACTTTGTAAGTTGTTTTTGATTGTTGTGGTTACAAGATTATAAGTTTTTTTTTCTGTTCTTATATAGGACAGTGTCAACAGAGGAATGTAGTGAAGCAGAAAATAAAGATCTGTTAGTTATGTTGTGACTGAAATTTTAAGAAAGCGTTATCAAAAATAAACTTGAAAATTAAGAAATTAAATGTTGTGTTGTTATAAGAAGATTAGTATTTTACTGTGGTGTTGCTCACGTGCCATAAGAAATAAATTGTGTTTGTTATTTCAACGACAGATCTAAACAATCGACGTATTGCATATTACTTAAATAATAATCATTAATTTCCGAAATATTTAAAAAAGTATGTCGATTTAATATTTCAGAAGAACCTGCGGCGCCCACCGTACGTTATAATAAATGATTGGGCTGCGTCCGAGTGCTTGTCGTTTGGGTGTGGTAGGGGCGGGGCGTGGTAGAACCCGCCTTTCACAAAATGGCTGCCTTACGCGCCAAAATTTGAATTTCGAATTCCTCTAAAAATTATCCAATCAAAGTGTTTAGGATTAGGTTGAGAAATAACAGAAATATTTTTGAGAAGGCGCAATAAAATGACTATGTAAATATAATTCTCAGAAAAGCCAAAAAAGAATTAAGTGGTTCTTGCAAGTGTCAATTTTAAATTTAATATGCACCACTAAAAAAGTGATCAAACCTAACAATGGATTGTTAAAACTGCAATGAAATTTAACGATCTTATAATATAATAATAAACAATGAAACAGTATAAAAGGCAATGCAATATCTGATCCCATGAAAGGACTTTCACACCGGAATGATAAATGTCTTAATAATGCATCATATATTAAGATCATACAAAGGCTCGCCGGCTTAACAAACTATAAACAAATCGTTATTGCGATTTAAAGATCCATTTAAAACCTATAAATTTTATTTGTCACGCAACATTACACCTTACTCCCTACACATAGAGCTCTTTACACGTTCGTGGTATGAAGCCCTCTTAAACTATTTATTGTTGCAGTCAAGAGATGTCTCTGTCCCTGTCAGACAAGTACGACCACGCGCAAGTGAGAGAAAGAAGCAAAACGCACGCGAGGCGTTTGATACAACAGTGTTGATTTAAGCACTGGTTTAGTTTATTGCAGTCAATAAAATTGAATGTTATGAGGCAAGGACGTTCGGAAGATGTTATATGTGATTTATGTCTTTATCATACGACAATTTTGTGGCCGTTCATTCAAATATAACGGATTTTTTTACAATATCCGTTTATTTACAAATTTTAAAAGTCATCGTATTCTTATTTGGTTTTTTGGCTAAGTAATTTTAATGTAATTAATATAAGTTTCACAATAAGTACATTTTAACTCGTTCTATACCAATTTCAAAATAGTAGCACTTGCGTAAAGACAAAGAGATTATTAAGATCTACTTGTAACGCCATCTAGTGGTGATTTTAGGTTTTAGTTTAGAATATTTTTTCAACTTATTCACATAATATTAGAAATTATATACCTATATTTTCTTTTGTTTTTATATGCGAAAATGGAAAGGTTTTACGTAGACTTGCGTGTCGCAAGTCGATACAAATCCAACGTAGAGAAAATGCTTCGAGCGTTAAATATGGCCATGAACCCGATCTGAATGAAGTGCAATGGCACGCCACTCCTCATAAATAACACTTGGCTATCATTGTGACACATTGAGATGACTGACTGACCAATTTACAATGAACTTTGACCAGTATTCACAACGAAATATTATCATATACTAAATAAACACTACTTATATATCTTATACTACATTACAATAATTTCTTAGAGCGATTACCTTCCCATGAAAAGTTATCAGCATCAAACTATTTAAAAAATACGAATTTTAAATCTTTACATATAAATAAACATTTTTCTTAACCTGTAAACAAATATTGGTTTCATTTTATAAAGGATGACTGTCGATAAACCTTTCATTAAAAACATAATATGGTTTCAGTTAAATAGTTGAAGATTTAATTCCAATTAATAAAAAGAAAGTCATAAGTATTCTTGCCTTAAAGCATACGAACAACTAAATTGTTTCATCATAGGTAGATGTTTTTTTTATATATCTAAGAATTTCCGCGATATACATCATCTTGGCAATCCACTAGTCATTATATCAAAACATAATAACCTCAATTTCAGACTTGTCAAAATGACATTAGTCATGAAGAATAATGGCCTGCATTGGTTATTAAAAAGTGATTAGGCCACACCTAGCTGGCGAAACAGAAAAGTAATTTGTGTTAGTGTACCACTGAGGGCCAATGGACTGCCGGTTTCATATCATTATTTTCTCATTAGCTTCTTTGGTTTGTAGATGATTTATGTGATTTGGTATGTATCGAACGAAACTATATTATATTTTATATGTGTGTACACAAAATTTAATTTTAAGAACCTTTAATAAGGTATAATGAAATTAGAATATTCGCAACTGGCAAAACATAACTATGGCTTTATCATTTAGGCTTTTATATCAGTGGTATTAGTTGTTTGAATTCCATTTTAAAAAATATTCCTATATGAAACATAACCTGTAAAAATATAAATTACTTAGTCTTCGTTATAAGTAAATAAAAATGTAATATCATAAATTATAATTAAATAAATGACTAAAAATTTTCTTATTTCTATTTACATCTCTTAGTCCAGGATCAATCAATGAAAACCTTCAATACAATCATTATGCTTTATTAATTTCATGTATTTATATATTTATGACAATATCGTCTCGCCTAACCTTATTAAATTACTAATTATAGTTATATTTCATAAATTTCGAATTGATAGGACACAATGGTAAATAAAATCGCCCTTTTAAGGTTACGGACTGTGTCTATAGAGCTACGTGAGAACTTATTTTTAACCTAAATAATCGATTATTTAAATTTACAAACCAATTGCGAAATTCGTATCTGGCAAGGGTGGGAGAAATAAAAATTTTAATTTCAAAACACAAGAAAAGCAAAAAAATTTAGACAATAAGAGTGTTATGGTCAATGTATAGGGACAAAATCTAATTAAAGAATCTATATTTTAAAATGAATGAAAAACCTTAAGTAAATAGGAAAATAATTGAGCAAATCACATAGTATCTACCCCAGCCAGATTTCTCTTAACGAAACATACCCAATTAAAAGCGAACCTAGTTAAGCGAATCAATAAATAAATATTGTGTTTTATATCGACAATATACAATACAATTTACATTTACTTAACGAACACAGCACAAATTAAAAAGAAATGTATACGGGCTCACTGAGACGTAGTTTCGCTAGCTACAAACTATTTTCAATAAAAAATACAATAAATAGTAGAAAGTATAACGTGAATCCCGAAGTTACAATATTACTAGTAACATTACAAGTAAATATTATGTACGATATTTTATTACGTATATCGGTTTCAGGCAATGATTTTATAAAAATACCATTTGAGTCTCGGAGACTTGTATATGAAAGGTGACGCCTACTCTTTAATGATCTACGTTGAACAACCAAGTTTATTTCCTAACTTTGGTATACCGTACACTGTACATATTCCTACTTTTCATATGAGAAAATAAGTATCAAGTTTGCATCTAAGGAATCGAAGGTAACTTCCCACTTAATAAACCTTCACTGAATTTCTGTCTGCAAATCGAATGTCGAATAATTTCATTTCGCAACGATAAACTACGATCATGTGCCGTACTCTCATTTCACAATTAATATAAATCCCCTATCAGATTATTATCAGTAATAATTACGTATATGTGTCGTCGAAAATCGTATACATTGCACTCGTAACTGGCCTTCACCTCGAAGTGAAAATCGAAATCAGAGAAGATTCACAATAAAAATTACTCGCGATGAGACAAAACGATAACTTATCATTTATATCAAATATTCACACTAAAACAATTGTACATAATCGTAAATTCTAAATTATAGTTTTTATATGTACAAAATAGCGTTTCGGTAGCTTAATTAGAAATAAAACATCAAATATATTAAATAATAACAATATCCATACTAATCGCCGTCTTATCAATGGTTAATATAAGAGGTCCTTACGGTTTTGTGTTTCGATAACATTAAAATAAACATTTCGCTTTAGGTCGTCTCGAAGCGCTCCTCTCGCACGCGTTAAATGAAAAACAGACATCGTCGACCTTCTCGGTTTTCAATTAAAATAAATTCGTGGAGCGTGCGACCGAAGCGCTCCGAAACGCTGACGTCCGAATCGAGAAGAAATAAACATTGATTTCAAATAAAGATTCCCCAACTACACAAATAATGAAATTACATAAAGATGCAGTCCGCCGCTGCGTTTTTGGTAATTATTGGTATTGAGATTCTTCTATAAATTAATTTATACTTAACAATTGTAAAAATCTCTTCATCACACTATCATTACTCTTTATGTCAAGTCACTAAGTTACGTATAAGTAGTATTGTAATATGAAAAGTCCAACATACAATTTATACAAATTAAACTGTTCTAACTCCTTGCTTCCTCGCGTGCACAATTTTATGAAAATAAATGAACACTGAAGGCCGTACGAACGGAGCTTTCACTTGGCTATCTTATTGGGGTGAGGTGGGCGGACTCATGTTGTCCGGCTCGTCACCAGACCCCGGCTCGCCTTTGGTCTTGTTCTCCTTCTTCCACTTCATGCGCCGGTTCTGGAACCAGATCTTGATCTGTCGCTCCGTGAGGCAGAGGGCGTGGGCTATCTCGATCCGCCGTCTCCTCGTCAGGTACCGGTTGAAGTGGAATTCCTTTTCGAGTTCGAGGGTCTGGTACCGGGTGTAGGTCTGCCTTCCCCGCTTCCGTTCTGAAATTGGAAATTTAAAATGTTAATATAACAAGTACTAGAGAGTAGGTTTGACACCACGGCTATTAAAATCAGCTCTATACTTCAAGCGCTAGTGTGAAACGTATGATGGGTGATAAAACCATAACCCTTTTGTTTCCGTCGTCGTCGCGTAAAAAGGAGTTTAATCATTCGCCTCGGGGCAACCCCAGATTAAAAAGTGCATAGCTATTCCTGATAAATGGTGGTTATTTGTAAACGGCGAACGCTCGACCGGAGTTAATTGAAAATTGTTTTGCTTATCAATTTGTTAATTGTTTTTGTTTGGGCGCTCTTACGGGTACCACTGTTTAGGATCTTTAATATTAAATATGATAGACTACATTTTCAAATTGGGTACTGAGCTAAATTTTCATAAAAAGTTTAAATTCACCACTATCTTAGAATGTGTCTATGTAACTACCAGTGTTATACCACAAACACGATTAAAAATTTTATTTAATTAAAAATTTATAAAATATTCTTTTTTAAATACTGTCTATATTTACCATATAACATTTAAATAAAAACTTAAGTAAAACCATATATTATTAGTTAAATCAAACTAATTAAAAATATTTTCAAATAAGTTTAACTAATATATCGCGTTTTAAACCGTTAAATGTTTTATTTAAATGTTCGTTTATGTTGAAAATTGTTATACTATATATCGCCATCATACATACATAGTTCTGGTGTAATGTACGGTGATAGATTACTTTTTCTATTTTTTTATTCAATCATAGTTGTTTTATTCTAATTATACCTTCTTATAAGAAACCTAGTTCAGTGATGTCAAATAAAGTAATAGTGCTTTTAGATACTCCACTTAAAACCGTTCACTAAGATTTATTCGGTAAAAATTAAACTTGGCTGTACGTGCATATGTCAGGTGCAACATAATGAATAATGTATTAATTCTGATGGATCGTCCCGTTCCCGATAAATGCACGCAATATTACAGGAATATGTCATAAGGTGGGTTTATACACGAGGACGAGGCTTAAACCGCTACTGGAGCCAATTAAAATAATTCAAAATGCCTCGAGCCGTCTTTTTTATTTTGTAATCATAATTCTTCGAAGATGCGATGCTATTATACACGGTTTAGATGATACGATGACCTTTGCAATTGGTATAGAATCAAGATTCAGATAGCTTAAGCGCTTGGCGTGTTAATCGCCATCACATCGTAATATTTATCCCATTACACGGGCCTTGAGACAGACACACACCAATTTTCGAAACAAGTAATTGATAAGATATTTGTGCCCCGTTAGAAACTATTTATTATGTATGTCCTCGGGATTCGAACTCAGGACATCATATGATGACTCGGTAGCTCAATTGGTTAACGGTTAACGATGCCCGTTCAAGTCCTGCCCGAGTCGTAAACTTTTTCAATTTATTTTCGATTTGTAATCTCTCATCATGTCTATTAATAAGCTTATAATTTTATTGATATAAAGTCTAAGCGATTCGAGGTGTCAACTCTAGTACCTCTAGTAATATGATCTTTTACGATTAAATCGCTCCCATTTTGCGTTTGCGTCACGTTCTCAAAACTAGATCTAGTTCAATTACACAAGCTTATTTTACGCAAGAGGCGTTCTTAATTGAATTTTGAAATAACAAAAATATAAAGTTTACTCGGTTAGTTAGTTGTACGATGCAACACGCGAAACAGCTTGAATTACAAAATCGGCACGCGAACTTCGAAGAATTTGTAAATTATAACATGAAAACACGAGGAGCAACGCCAAGTAACTACTGTTTCAAGGAAAACGTAATAACGACTTGAAAAGACAACCTCTTTACGATGTACCTACTATAATACGTTTTTACATATTTCTGTATACAACATAAGCCTAAATTGTAAGTGAATCTTTTTGAACATAAAATGTTTTAAATATAATATGAAACACACTTTTAAAACAATTGCACATCTTTAACATGCCGTTCACGGCAATCTGCAACTGTAAGATGTAATAAATATATTTCAATCTCCTATATATCGTATATTACAAATATCGAAAGCCAAAATGGGTCGACCAAAACAATTACATCATGATGTTGACTTCTAACATTTTTAGAAACAATATTACGATATTTTTATTTACTTCCAAATAAATGATTGAGTAGAATACAACTTATTTTTTTTAATAGCCTATTTCTCTGTTTGGAAATGATTAGAGATAACAAAATCGTACTTATAAAGCTAGACAACATTGCTAGACTCAAAAAGTTTAAATTGAAGTTAACTATGATGCGGGTTTCCATTGACGATAATTTGATCGAACCCCAAGATAAATTACAATCCATAGACAACACATAATTTGATATTCCCTTATTAAATTTAAAATCAAAATTAAAATGGAGTATTACGTTTCTCTGAAGGGTAAGGTGAACGCAATTCTGTGTCTGTTTCCGATTTGATAATTTTGTTCAGTTCAAGTAGTGCTTTGAAAAACAAATTCTTTCCCGGGTTTTGTAATTAGAACCTTAACGCTTACATTAAATTCGGTAAGAGATTTTTTTACTGTTATTCCTTAGATACTTATTTAATGTATCTGTTTATTTCCTTTTGCTGAATAAATAAATAGATACAGAGGGACAGAACTTCACATAAGTCTGTCACTACATAACATCTTTATTATTAGTAATTGTTTTCTCTTTATAGAAAATATATTTACCATCGCTTTTAACATTTAACAATGACGGTAGTTAAACATATTGTCTTCTAAAGAGTTTTAATCTAGTTAAATGATTGCGGGCTTTCGTTCAGTACTGAAAATTCTAACTTAACCGTAACAGCACTCCAGAATTGAATACAAGCGCAAAAATGTAAGAGAAGCGAGTGCTCTAGCAATGCAGTCTGGTTCAAAATTATCGGCCACTTGTTGCTCAGGAAATTGATAACAGCCTCATCGCTACCGGATTTTGGGACGCATTCAAGAATGTAAATTATATCGCCCAATGAATACCGGGTTATTAAATGACGAGTGGTACGCCGTCCTCACGCGCAAATGTGCTCACGTCCGGTGCGATTGCAAATTTTGCAAACTGAATTTAAGGTCGCCGAGTAATTTATAGTTTTTTGGTTTGGGAAATCCTCAATTAGATTCTCAGTTTATATTTATAACTCTATATGTCATTATAAGACAAAGGACGATAGAGAAGCACCCATATAAAATCTAAATAGCGCTATATATAGCAACCCAAACATTCGGAAATACACAGACTGAAACGCAAATGCATGTAATTTTGATATTTTTACCAGTTATCCATACTTTCATTGATTAGACTAAGCGGGAATAGAATCCATGACACGTTGATTTTAAACTATAGTGGTACATTCGTACTATCGGACGAATGAACCCGTCGTTTCAGTATGCTATGATCTCTTTTGTGGTTTAACTCATCTGTGCCGTATATTTTTAATGATTGATATCAAAATTTAAAATATTAAATATCACAGTACAATCATCTTAATAGCACGATACAATTATAATCCAAATTTTAGACATATTGTCTAAATATACTTAGATTCTTAGCTCCTAGCTTAATAATATTATAGTATTTCGGATTCAAATATTTATTAGTTAAAGATTGATGTAGGAAAGACAAAAAGTAATAACTAGAGAAGTTCGTTATCATGTTTAATAAAATATAAAGTTACTTAGTAGTAAAATCCCGTTTCCCCTTGTGGGGCAAGTAGTTAATCAGACTTCTGTGCCCTGCCCGACCGAAACAATTTACTGTTTCCTCGGGATTCGAACCCAGGACGTCTCATGCTTAACACAATGCTAGGCAACACGTTTAACTGTTTAGCTATAGAGGCGGTTATAAAGTTACTTAGGTTGTAAACTAAATCATGAGTAGGTATGGTAACCTTATAAGTTTTTTATCGTCTCACGAGAAATTGATTTTTAAACTTTTTTATATATACTGATATTCTATTGGATAATATGAAGTATATTCCCGTATGAAAGTCACGGACATCAGCCAGTAATATACGGCGCAAGATCTCGCGAGTAGAAAACAAAATCATACGCGATAAAGCTCATGAAATCCCTCTCCTATGGGGCTTTATATATTACTCTGGCGGTTTCATCGCGCTCAGATGCATAAAACATGATCCCGACGTCAGATTTAAACCGTTCGTAATAAGACTATTAAGTGCATACGCCGAATGACGTAAGGAGAACTTAATACGAGAAATCGCATTATGTTGCGATACACACTCTTCAGCTTTATGCAGAAAACTATATAAAATAAAATGTTAACTCAAACATTTATAAATATCATAGAGATTTTACATTAATTGTCCTTTACTTGTCAACTAACGTTTTTTATTAATTATTTGTTGAACTGTTCAAGGAAATAACGTATATGTAAAGCTTATAGGTATGTTATATATAAAGATTTGATAAAATAATCAATCTGTTAGTATCTAACAAAGTATTGAGTAATTAACATATGAATATTTTAAGTTATCTCTTTAATTGTTCCTTTGTTTTTATCTCGTGTAAACCAAGGTTGTCTGGAAGAAATCACCATAGGCGATGAGGCCGCTTGTGCGCTGATTTTTTATGTATTTTGGTAATTCCTTTTTTTAATTTGTTTTATTCATATTATTATGAATTCTATTTTTTTTATAATTTAGGGGTTTTCTAATGTACATTAAAAAGCTAAAGCATGACTTCAACTGGCAAGTGGGTTGATGTATACGGGCGATCGAACCGTCGCGTTTTTTAGGCTCGTCTGTGAAGGTAGTAGTGTCGTTGAATGTGACACTACGACGTAAATCATTTGTGAGGGACCCCCGCTTTCCTTTTGCAGAACGCGGACGATCGTGTGACGAGATCGATGCTTTTATGTTGATAAGAGATGTACCCGAGAGAAATAAAGTTGATGTAATTGTCGTGATTGTAAACCGTCGTGGTTTTTGAAATCCAATTGAAAGTTTAATCAATCAGATT